TGTAACTCACAAGCGAGAGTACGACGTAAAGTGTCGAACGACTGTTTTAGGTTTATTATTGATTGCTTCGGACTAGTGCCGTGATTACAATATATAGGCGACTAAACCTAATACGTAACCCTAGCTAACCTGGACTCTATTAACCTAACCGAACTCCTATCCCTCTCTTAGGCCTCTCGGCCAACCCTACCAAAACCCTAGCCCAACTTACGTACTACTACTACACTACACTTCGACCCATGCACTAACGACCTACTAACTACTAACTAATGACCCATAAATAATTAAACATATAACACAACCCGACCCATCTCTTCTTGCCAACGAAGGTCCACGGTTTGCTACCAAGTTCCAATCCAACGCCGGCACTTCCGTGTTGCCTTGACGTTCCGATTCGAAACTCCACCCTAAGTCACCTTCAACTCCTTGCAGGATTAGAGTTCCATTATTAACCTCGTTTAAGCTCAAGGGTTGGCTTACCTCTATCACGTCTTTAAGGCCGCCAAACGTCCATGTCCCTTCACACGAATTTGAGTCGGCCTCTTTTAAGGTCCCGTCCGCAAGTTCCATGGCACTATCAACCGTAGCCACCACCGAACCCACTCCATACAAGATTCCATGGGTCAGCCCTCCAATACGCAGCCCGAGTCCGTCCAACTTCGAGGGATATCGGACTTGTTGGTCTCGGTCCAATCTATCACGTGATGACGGTCTCAACTCTTGGCCCATTGAGGCTGTACTCTCGGCGTCGAACCCTAGCTTGCTTGCCCGCGCGGGTCGGCGGATTTCCTTCCTCATGGTCAGCACGGTGATGGGCTCTCGGTCATGTTCCTCCTTCGACATTCCTCCGCCACGGGCGAGATCATGTGCGACCTCTTCCCCAGTAGCCGCTGCAAGCTCTTCTTGTCCCTGCTGAACGAGCCCTTGCGCCGCTGTTGGTGATGTGGGGGCGGGGACGACAACATCAACGGTAGGGGAGACTTCCTCCAGCTTCGACTCCAATGGCTCGGGCGCTGGAAGAATCGACTGACACCCTCGATCGCGGCATCCGGTCTCTCGAGAGATGCCGTCATTATCTCGCAAACTCTCGGCAGCACTTGTAGTCTTGTTGTCAGAATTAATGGCTCCTTGCAACGTGACCCAGGAGCCTTTGTATTTGAAACGCATGGTCGCCTTCTTCCAATCAAAAGATATCGGACTTGCAAGCTCAAGCCATTGACAACCAAGAACAACATTGGTTTCACGTAGTGGCAGCTCGTACAAATCAACTTGAAGTTGTATCCCCTGTATTTCAATTGGCACCGCTTCGTAGTATCGTTGGCACAATAGGGAATCCCCATTAATTACCTTAACTTCGAAAGGCGCGATTGCTGTAGCTCTCAAGAACAATCTCCCGGCAGCTTCGCGGCTCACAAAATTGTGCGAGGATCCACTATCGACGAGGACGGCAGCTGATTCTTGATGGACGGTGGTGTCGAAGCGGATGATCGTGGCCTTGGGAACGCCGGTGAGAGCGGATAGCGAGATCTCTGCTGCGGCGAGAATAGGAGGTTTATCCGGCGGCTCATCAATCTCAATCGGTGGTTCACCATCGACAAGCTGTGAAGCTTCATCCCTCGACAACCTTCTGCGTTCGTCCAGTTGCTTCCGGATGATAGAAGACCTCTCACCGATCTGCGGAAAGCATGCCCTATATGCGAGCATCGTCAAGCTCGGTTCTGCCGAACCAGGCTCTGATACCAATTGATGCGGAACGAGATTTCGCGCACCGGTGATCTCGAACGATTTAGCGAAAGAACTAGAAAACACGATAAAAGAGCTACTTTTCTCTACTAACTACTTATACTTTATTCATCGACTTAATAAAACGAAGAGCAAATGTACATATTTATAGGGCTAATCCTACAAACCCCTTTCCCCTTAAGACAAGGAAACCCAAACCCAAAGCAGCAAGTAAACGAATACCTCCTAAGCAAGATACATAATAATAATCCTAGACCCAAACTAATACGAATAACCCGAATAATAACTGAATATCCCAACAAATAATAATAATAAAACAACAATAATAATATTAATATTAATGGGCTCGGCCCAATATGCTGTCACGCATCAGATCCAAGCTACAAGTGAGAAACACCCACCCCGTGAAGATGGAATAGCAACTCCTTAAACAAACGCTTCAAAGTTTGCTGCAAAGTGTAATCTTTTTAAATAATTGTAATATTAATATATATAAAAGTGAAGTAAGGTTACTGTTGTCAAAATTATTACATTTTGATACCCTAAATTTAACTAAATTACAACTTAATCATTATAATATACATTTTACATTTTGATATCCCAAATTTAATTTTAATGTAAATCGATTGAACAATTATGTTTTGATATCTAAATTTTATGAGATTTTCGTACTTATAGTTTTTTAAATTTATATATCGGTCCAATATTTAGATTTCACTTAAATCCATGAATCCAATCCACCCATCCTTTTGAACCAATCCATGAATCCAATCCACCATAACATAAAAGTATAATTTAGTTTGTATCATACAAGATGTTATATCACTCAACTGTAGGAGAAGATTCGACCAATTTATATTTGATCATTACGTGAAACATTAAATAAATGATAAAAGAGAGATGACTCTAAAATATTGCAAAAGCAAATTTATAAATTTATTTGGTACATTTACGTGGTACTAAACAAACGTCTACTAACTACATGTAACAAAATATGCGACATCTACATAAGCAAGTGTCAATAAATTGCTACAGTGAAAAGTGTTGATTGTTGTATTGACGACCAACTAAAAGAATTGGTCAAAATCTTTCCATCATCTACTTCCTTTTCGTTTCATTTTTCACTCGCCTTCCATAACCCTTTCTTTATCTCTTTCTTTGCCTTCTTCGTCTAACCCTAATTAGTATACTATTTTTATGTATTCTAATCACAAGTTTGAACGGGTCCATACACGACTGACCAACAGTCTAGAGAATTAATAATTGAACCATGAACCATTATTTTTCCAGCTCAATGTCGAGTCCAATTCAAAATAAATATAGATGGTTATTACTTATTAGAAGTCGTCATTTTTCACTATGAGAATTGAAGGCGTGAAATTTTAAGCGAGTTCCAGTTTGTAATACTTCTGCTTCTCTCTAGAGTTTTCTTTTTCACCCGGCCTAGAATTTTCAACAAGTATTCATGGAATTTTCAACAATTATACACATAAAATAAACAGTTTCCTATTTTCTATAAGAAAATAAATAATTATCATCTTAAATACATCACCATAAAAGGAGTTAAGCCTCAACTATGAAAATTACAGTTTGATACCTAAACTTAATAGATCTTTAGATTTATACCCTAAATTTAATTTTTTTGGCATATAAGTCTCATAATATTGATGGAACACTACATTTTAGTACCTAAAATTTTTGTGTATTACATTTTAGTACCTACACTTTTGAAGTTCTACGAATATGTCTAATTTTTGTATGTGTAATTGAAATACCCTCGAATAAATGGGTATCAATACCTAACTCATACACATTTAGATTATGAAAGTAAATATTCATACACTACTCAAACTCATCTACAAACTTCCAAACCCATATATATGTCACCCATACCTTACCCATAATCAATAGGTCTACTTGGGTAGATAAATATCATTTATTAGCCAAAATTTTCAATATTTTTTAAAGTGGAAGTTGACTGTCATATATCTCTTTTCAGTCAATATTGCTAACAAAAGTGCTAATAAAAAATTAATTTCGGGCTAATAATACTAACAAAATACCATAACGGATCACATAATACATGCCCGTAGACCATTTCTGTCCCAGGCGCGACATCGCCACCTAGTGATTTTATAATAAAGAGAAACACCACAAAACACTTGGTACATAGAACAAGACATGTTTCAGAAAATGATACACATCAAGCATCGACCCGGATACAAAACAGGTTTATTGGTCATATTAAGTAACATCAATCTGCAAATTGGTTGCTTTTATGGTATGAAATTCTTAAACAAGAGTCACAACAATGATTTTTCAACATAATGCATTATAAAGATGGATTTTATCATCAATGATGAAATTGTCAAAATTAGGAAAATTCAGATTGCATGAGTAACATTGGTATACTCTACCTGCCAAATTTGTACAACATATTACATATTGGTTTTACACTCAACCAGCCAACGGTTACCCAAACCCACGGGTACCCACCCGACCCAATCCGGTCAACGCGGGTAAAATCCGTGTTGACTGGTTTTGGGCCGGGTTTGGGTTTAAACCCGTTCACTATTCACCGGGTTGGGTTGAGTTTGGGTTTAAGTAAACCCAACCCATGGGTACCCGCCCACACTCATATAGTTAATTTTCTCGGTATATCTAATATTCTAAATAACTAATCTTATTTATGTTTGTGGAGACATGTCTAATTTTTTCTTTCTAATTGTGTAGAATGAAGTTGATGTCATCGAGTCGAGAGTGAAGAAACTTAATTGAAAGGAAGAAGTTTTCAATTAATCATGTTATTTATGGATAATTTGTGATTTGCTTCAATTTTATTGAGTTTTCTAGATTGGTGTTGAACAATTTGTATAGTTAATTTGTGATTTGCTTGAATTTTCTAGAATGATGTTTTATATATGGATAATTTGTATTGAGAGATTGATATTTGACTTTAATTTTGATAGAAATTTGTTATTGTAAATTTTTTACGACAAAAACCCGTGGGTACCCATGAACCCACGGATACCCAGCGGGTTGGGTTGGGTTTGAATTTTTCAAACCCAATAAATTTTACCCTGATTTTTTTCACGGATAAACCCATGAATTTGGGTTTGGGTTTGGCAAAACCCGACCCATTGCCATCCCTAGACGGCCCAATGTTCTAGTAATAATTTCACGGGATTGTTCTCATTTTCATGGACCAGCCGGCATAACGAACTAGATATCATAACCCGAGGCGAGCTGCATGGAAAGTTGGAAACGAAACGATTAACCAATCTGAAGCAACGCAATAACGCAAAGGTCCAATAAACTAGGAGAAATTGTGAGCAGAGAAATTTTAAAACTAACTAACGACTACCAGTCCCAAGGTATGTACAAAATTACCAGGTCACACACACTACAAATTTTCCATTCTGATGGCCAAGAATTTCACCCAAAAGAAAGAATAATCAAAGATATTGATGGTAAATCCATAACTAGAGCCCGTCCTTGGCCAGCTCCACCCAAGGGGGAAACAAGAATATAACAATATTTTAAAGCTTCCTGTTGGTCCTAGCACTGTGTTCATGTTTGACGAGATTTGCCCTCAGGAGCATTGCCCTAACATCCCTGTCGAATTCACTGCCAGTCTGAAGAACTCGTTGGAAGGTGGCATTCCTCTGATCTGCATGACGTGCATATAGAATTTTGTTGTGCGAGTCTATACGAGCCTGCAGACAATTAATAACAAACTATGATCATCAGGAGTGTCCATGTATGATCTGGAAACAACACACTCAAGGAAGAAAGGGAAAAGCAGCGAGTGCTTGAGCAGAGACCTGGATTTGATTGTCAGTGATCAATGTTGCAAGTTCCTTCTCTAGCCCCGCGACAGTTGTTTTGAAAGCATTAGCCATCATGTTCAAGTCAACAGACACAAACGGGTGTGTGTACTGAATAAGAGCCTTGTTTCGAATTTGATCATACAATTTCTCGACGTGATCATGCAAATGCACATCCAGCAGCAGGTTTGTTTTCAGATTTGTCAAATAGTCCAGACAAGAAGCATAACGGCTGCAATACACATGGGAGAAGCATAAAGTTTTCGTATCAAGGATGACTGCATCTGTCAGATCTGAAGCTCAAGAAGCCATCATTGAGCCAACTACAAGTTGTTTCAGTTTATGCTTCCATTGGTTGTAGACTGTCTACAACCAATGGAAGCATAAACTAAAACAAGGGAAGTAGAGAAAAGTCTGCCATGCTATCCTTTGCCCTTTATCTTTGTTCCACTTCTTTACCAATTTAAGAAGGAAAAGTTCAAACAAACTAGGTCTAGTGTGAGATTGAATTTTTAAATGATTCGAGCAAAAGACTCCTTAATTTTAAGCAAAAATCAGTTTACAATCCTTCAGGATACCACACCATTAAAAAAAATAAAAATCCAACACCTTAAACTAATCAAAACATACCATACATACTTCCATACAAGTGAAAAATTCTGATCAGCAGCTCTAAACATTAGCATACAGACTAGATAAGGGGAAGGCTTATGTGTTAAAGCATTAATATCTCACCTCGAGTAGAAATCATTGATCAGCTCTCTCACTTCAGGAACTAATTCCAAGAAGTTCCGGAAGTTGAGATTGTCGATTACCTTGCTCTGTTAAATAAACCACTTGTCATGATTAGATGACACTAGAGATAACGAAACAAGAAAAGCATATAAGGGCTACCTTTAGCTCTGTCCGGTCAAAACTTGCAAGTGCACAAAGCCCACCATATGTTGCAACGTCTTGGGGTGCAATAACTTCATTGTAAGAATTTCCCAACTCAGGACCCACTTCCAGAAACTGCAATATGAAAAAAGAAAATACATGTACAGGATTACAAGTAAGATAAGAGGTAACTCATGATTTTCCAAACAACCTTATAAAAATCGAGCAAATAATGGATAACAAAGATGGGGATGCAATTTGAAATCTGTTGGAGCCAAATAAAAGACATGCTACTCAATTACTCATCAGGAGAAATGGACAGCATGACTTTGACAGTGCAAAAAGCACATGCCAAGCTCATACTGGTTTTGTTTGAGGTTGTATCGTTGAGCACTCAAGTGAACATGTAAGGTGCAGTTCATTTCCATAAAGCTTTAATAATCCTAACCAAACTACACAAACCACATTCATTCAGAACTCAGAGACCATTTAGGAATAGAAAGGCTCAATTAATCCAAGAAGACTTGTGAAGCATTTAACAGCCACATCACATTTGCAAGTCAGAAAAGTTACAAATATCAAATTCCCATAATTTCCATGAAGCGTTTTGAGAGAAAAATGAAGAAAGGAGCTCAATTAGTTTATTTGACAAACCTTTCGAGCAGCAAGCTTGTACTTAGTCATATCTAGATGCGCCAAACCAGAGGCACACTTTAACTTTGCGATTGTGGTAGGGTCAAGTGCTTCAGGTGTCTGTTCTGCTTTGCTGACATAACTTGAAACATGAGAAAACTGCCCCATCTCGATGCTCACAAGAATGGCACTCATACACATGTGGATAATGTGCTTTGACGTTGTACAATAATCTCGAGTGCGAATGTAACTCTTAAAAGCATCGCCAAGTGCACCATGAGCATAATAGAAATCTCCAAAATCGTTGTATCCCATTCTAATGCTTTCCTTTATCAAATTTGTCTGCATAGAGAGTGAAAAGAGCCTACTCAGGAAGTAAAGAAGCAGGATAAGTGAGTTTTCAAAACAACTCAAATGAGGAGAGCATCACACTAGTTACGGACAACATCGTCCATGTCAGCTACGGACAACTATCACATATTCACATCTCACTGTGAACAAGATAGAGTCCGAAATTGCAATTCGGTCTTGGATGGGCAGTCGCATAGCAGTGATATATAAAGCTAAAAATGCCTTAACCACAAGAGAGTCATGATTTTGAAACCCACATTTCCAGAGAATTCACATAGCAAGTTTGATATTTCAATGAAATTGCTAATAAGACAGACCTAAGAAAGAGACTTCAACCTATAAGAAACCCAAATAACAAATCCAGCTAATGCTACCATCATCCAAAGGCATTCACCAGCTCGTAATACTTCTCTAAATTCCATAACCGTATGCCAGAACTAAAACCCTAAAACTGAGGTGAAAGGGATTACTGGACCAAGGACTCACCCGGTACGCATTGAGTTCATTCTCGAGCTTCTCCTTCCTCTGCTCAGCTCTGCGATCCACCGTCTCACACCAGGCATTGTCCATGCCGTAGTTAGGGCCGAGCCTGTCGTCGATCTTCTGCACAACTTCCCGAAACAGCTGGGTATTCTCGCCTTTCTTGATCTCGTCGTAGGCCATCCTCAGCGCTTCCTTCTCCATCGATGGGTTCCCGCAGTGGACGGCGATGAAGATGAGCCGCGTTATCTTAGTCCTCCCGGAGTATAACCCGGCATAGGCTTCGATGTCGAGCTGCTCGCCACTAACAATCGGCCTTGTACGGCCAGTATCGTCGCCACCATTGGCGTAAATCTCGTCATCTGCCTCCATTGCCGATGGAGCAACGCGAATTTTGGAGGGGTTAGGGTTTTGGGGATGGTGAGTAGTTTGCTGGGGGGAAAGTTCCGTGGTGAGCAATCGAACCTACTGGACTGATCCGTCTCCCCCTCTTACACTTGGCTTTCTCCCGGGAGGCGGTGGAGGATTTTTATTGGGAAGAGGGACGGAAACGACGTCACAAAGTTACTACGTCGTTTCGCTTTGATCAATTGACATTGTTTGGATCCAGCGGTGGGCTCGGGCTTCTTAATAAGTAAATTGTACACGAAGCCCGCTTTGCTGGGCTGTCGATCCACTTCACATGTTGTTTGAAGTCCAGCTACTGGCCTGTGAGTGTGAGGCAAGCATTTTGTAGTGTGTGTGTGATCCTACGATGGAGTATATAGGTGTCAAAACATAATGCGATCCGACTAATCCGTCCGATCAATCTAATCCGCAATCTGACCGCAATTCGAATTGACTAAAAGTCAACAATCCGTAATTCGCCCGACCCGCAGCCCAACAAGTCTGCAACTTGATTGACCCGCAATCCGATTAACCCAAATCCGATTGACCCGCAACCCGATTAACCCAAATCCGACCGACTCAACCCAACTAACCCATAACCTGACCGATCAACCCGAACTTCACCTAATCCACTTGAATAATTATTATAATATATAATACATAATTTTTCAAAATAAAATTTTTCATTCTAAACTTAGGTAAAATTATTTTTTCATTTCGCATAACAAATTTAAAAAATATATAAATTACTTGATATTATGTATTGTAAGGAAATTATCAAAATTAAAACATGAAATGTCACTTGAACACTAAGTTCTTCAACAAAATTCAAAAAGTAAATATTAAATATAAAATCAGCATAATGTCAATATTAATAATGAATAACTAATAATTGAGATCATGAACAATATTAATATAATATATAAATTAAAATTTTGGTGAGTTTTAAATATTCAATAAAGTTATCAATACAATATAAATAAAGTAAAGTAAAGTAATTTATTTGGTATTTGATACTTTTAAAGGAAGAGGGATATTTTGGTGTATTCAAATTTTTGGGAAGAGAAAGAAGAGAAAATTTTGACATTTTAAATTTTTAAAAAAGAAACAAAGAGAAATTTTGGTGGTTTTTATTTGTGGGCACTTGGGAAGAGAAAGAAGTGGGAAAGTTTGGTTGAAAGAGAAATAAGGGGAGAGTTTTTCTAATTTATGAAAGGAGATTGAAGGAGAAATTTTTTAGTATTTTTTTTTTTGTGAAACGGAAAAAGAAAATAAATTTGGTGTTTTCAAATTTTTGGTTTTTCAAAATTTTAGCCTTTGTAATATGAATTTTTAATTTTTATATGAAGGGCGTGACTAATTGATTTTATTCTGATATGCTTTGTAGGCTAATATATATATGGTGCCTTCTACGGTACCCCGGGTGAAATCCGGGTACCGCATACCTTGAGTATGAAAACGCTATCTAGACCTCGAATTAGCAGGATTTTTGGGCATGATACTATACCCTAACCCTTAATGAGTGAACCCTAGGTCCTAATTATCTAAATCATAAACTATAAACCCTAGGATGGCGCATTGATTTTTTGCCTATATTTGGAAGAATCATAACCGTCGATTATTGTTTCTAATTAAATTGATCTTGGGGTATAATATTTAGCGAATTAAGACCTACGTTTTGATCTTCAAGGGTTAGAGTATAGCATCATGTCCGAAAGATCAGTCAATTCAAGTTTCGGATAGCGTTTTCTTACTCAAGGTATGCGGTACCCCGGATTTTACCCTGGGTACTATAGAACTCCCCATATATATATATATATATGACAAAGGCTAGCGTACGTCAGGCGTACGCTGTACGTCTGTGTTCACACTTGGTTTTTGCACTTCAATATATTTCGTTGAATCAGAACCGTCGGTTATTATTTTTTAGATTAAATGAATCTTGTGGCTTGAGTTAGAGAATTAGGGACTGGGAGGAAGTGGAGTCACTTCTTCTTTGTCTTTATGGTAGTGGAAGAAGCAATGGGGTCACTTCTTCTTTGTCTTCAACTTAGTGCTCTTTGTTGGCAAAAGACCAAGCACTTCTTCATCCGGGTCATGGTTTTGGAACGTGGAATTTGCGTCAGATGTTGAGCTAGACGCCACATCTTTGAGAATTTGGAAGTATTCTTCTTCAGTCTTGGCGCCAGCTAAGAGAGCGCTGATTGAAGATTTTGTTTGCAAAAATTGCGTTGAGGATTTTTCGATAACTTTGGACAGTTCAGGATTGTTATTGAACCATTGGAGAACTTGAGGTTTGTAGGCTTGTTCTGGGCGAGGATTTGCAGCCCAATATTTGGTTTTGAAGTTGCGGCCTAACATGGGTACCTTTATGACGACACAGGTTTGGTAACTGAATTCCCAGGCTGTAATCCAAGGAACTTTGATGTAGTAACAAAATTTGAGGAGGGGTAATCCTGGACCAGAATATTTTTGACAGAAGGTTTGATATCCCTCTAGTATCTCAGCTGGATAGATATTTTCAGTTGGCCCAAAAAGATCCCACCAGTGCATAAACCAATTGGGGAAAATAATGGGAGTTTTCTAATCCAAAAAAAAACTCCAGGAGTGTCGGTACATATGGTTTTGCTTGAAGAAGACATTAATCCAAACTTCATGGTAATCCCAGTAATTGAAGGATTGGCAGATTTGCGGGTGGTTAAGAGCGATAGTAGCAGGGAATTTTTGGTTGGTGTTTGGGCTAGTAGGCCATTGGCGAGGGTCATAATTTGGTGGATTTTGCAGGTTGAGTGGGTATTGAGGTTTTGTCTAAAGGATCAAATTTGTGAGAATGTGACTGATCCAGTTTCTGTGAGGATAAGTTCATAATATTTGTGGGTTTTGTTGAGGGATCTTGGTTTGAAGAACCACTCATTGAGGAAATGTTTGGCAGTAACATTTGGATATTGATGGTAGAAACCATCTTCAACAACGAAAATGGGTTGAAAAGTGTTTTTCTCAAAATACGTTTGAAATCGATTTTGAGGGGCTTGGACAACCACCACCTCTTGGGTTTTGGGAAAAACGGTTTTGAGAGGGGCTACCGAAGATGCCACCTCTATTGAGGTAGGTGCGACATCAAGATGATGTTGCTGATAGATTTGTTTGGTTTCTTCGGAAGAGATGGGTGTGGGTAGGATGCCACTTGGCGTTTGAGTATTTGAAAGAATTAGTTTAGAAGGGGAAATTGTTGAGGAAGTTGAAGCTTCAGTGGGAAGCTTTTGTTTAGAACCAGAAATGACAATAAATTTTTGAAGGTAATTTTGAGCTTCAAGAGAAATCTTATCAATATTTATTAAAGCTTTGGATGAACTTGAGTGTGAACCAGAATCATCAGAACTTACTTCATACTCACTTGAATGATCAGGGCTTCCTTGTTCATCATCAAATATCTCTCTCCATATTTTGATTTTGATTTTCTCTTTATCTCGCAATCTAGTGGTAGGGGGCATTATGACTGAGGATTGCAAGCCTGAGAGTTTTCCGCACTTCGTCCTCCCTGCAAAAATTCCCGAGTAAGGAAGTCTGGAAGAGAGTTTGAAGAACCATTTATAAATTGTATGTCAAAATAAAAAATGCTAAGGATGGCTTGCCATCGTGCAAATATTTGTTTAGAAGCAAGATTTTGAACATTTTTTTCCAAAATGTATTTTGCTGATTGGCAATCATTGCGTAGTAATTTTTTTTGATTGAGCAAATCATGCTGAAATTTTGAGATGCATAAAACAATATCAAGCAGTTCTTTTTTGACAGTGGAGTAATTGATTTGGATAGGGTTCCAATGTTTAGAAGTAAAGCGTACCAACAACTCCTTATCATTTTGAATCTGCTTAAGGATTCCTCCATATCCTAGGCCAGAGGCGTCGGTTTCGACGATTTTAGGGAGAGAAGGATCACTTATGTGAAGGCACGGGAGACTCTGAACCTGCCTCTTAATTTGCTGAACTATTTTGGTATGCTGGTCACTCCAGGGAGGGGGACTCTTTTTCAATCTATCATGGAGAGGTTTACAAAGAAGATTGATGTTGGGATAAAAGTCAAGGACATAATTTAAACTACCCAGGAACCGTTGTAATTGATTTTTGTCTAAAATTTGATCAGGAAATTTATCAGCAAATTGAAGAGATCTTTCGATTGGAACAATTGTTCCTTGACCAATGTAGTGACCCAAAAAAAGTATCTTAGTTTGAAAAAGACAAAGTTTTGGTTTAGAGATAGCCAGACCGTTACGTCGAGTGACTTCAAGAAATAGATTGAGATGTTTGAAATGTTGGTAAATGGACGAAGAAAAAACCAGGACATCATCAATATAAACTATTATGAAATCAAAATAAGGAGAGTAGATTTGATTCATAATTCTTTGAAATTCCGAGGGAGCATTTTTCAAACCAAACGGCATGACGTTCCATTCATATTGGCCAAAGGGAACGGTAAAACCAGTTTTATAGCGGTCTGTTTCTTTGATTTGGATTTGCCAAAATCCGAATTTCATGTCAAATTTAGAAAATATTAGGGACTGTGAAAGTTTCTGGAGTAGATCCTTTTGGTTGGGGATAGGATACTTAATCCATTTCAGAGCCTTATTTAACGGTTTGTAGTTTATAACAAGACGAGGAATGCCACGTTCCTTTTCTGCATTGTTAATGACATAGAAAGCATAACAACTCCAAGGGGATTGACTAGATCTGATAAGGCCCTTTTGGAGCAATTCTTTAATTTCTTGTCGACAATGTTTTAAATGTCCGAATTCATTTGGATAGGCCTAGCCTTGGTGGGAATGAGATTTTCTGTGAAATCTTTTTCATAAGGGAGATCAACCTGATGTTGTTTTTTATGCCAAAAAGCATTGGGTGTATTAGCACAAATAGAGCTTTCAAAGTGCTATTTTAAAGAGTTGACTCTTTTTTGCAAAAGGGGTTGAGAAAGCTGTTGTAAGAATCGCTGAAAATGTATCTCATCATGCAAATAAGATATTTGATTAGTTTTACAACGAATTATATGGTGTATATATTTTATAGAAGAACGTCGCAAAACATTTAGGTTCCGAACTTTTGGTTTTTTGGAGAAACGAGAATTCAACATTGTTTCCTAACACAACAGTGTTAATTCCTTGGTCGGTGACGGTAAAAGGTTTT